ACCAGATATATCCGGCGCAAATTGCGTCGCGCAGTTAAATTATGCGAACTCTTTCGGTAGCTGTAATTGATTCCAGAACGAGATTTACCAATTACCTAAAGAGATCTCGTCCAGATTCTCGTGAGAGAGTAAAGATCGTCGTAATTCCTCGTAATTGTAGTTCGAGAACCAGATGCAGCGTGTAATTACCGAGTTAGCTGGAACCGGAGACACTCGTCCGCGTAAAAACAGTTACTTCAATCAGCCTGCAATATTAACACTCGCCTGGTTGATCCTATCACGGTTCGTTTCAAGTACCCGTAACTCGATCGTCCTCATAAAAAAGTAAATTACTCGATTCTCCACCGGCGGCGTAGATTTATTAACGCAGCATGGCCAGACCTTAGAGAATGAAAAGACGATCACGTTCACAAATCCGTGATATTAATTAATAGGACTCGGCGGGCCAGGGGCGGAAAATGATTACGGTGAACGTGACGAATCTGGGTCAACGGTGCGTCGTCATGGCCGAGGTGTCGTCGGCCCGAGGCCGCGTAATTTTCTTGCCTTTCATCCCTCGAGGGAGGAAGCTCGGACCCGTGTTTCTACCCTTTTCCGCTCGAAATAATTAATATACAAGGCACGGGAGAGTGATCCGTAGGTGGTGGGATTTCGGCCCAAGGAAAGCTCTTTCCGAGGGAGGCCCATGAAGTGCTAATGTGCTTCCGTAAAGACCCGTGCACGCCGCCCCAACCCTGGCCGAGTTCATAAAAAATGAACCAGGCTCCTAGTGCTCTCTCTGCCGTTCCCTGCTCGCCGATTTTCACTAAAAGGATCTGCTTGCTATAATTTGAAGCGCGGACATGTGGACTGACAGGCGGTAGTACAATCTCTACGATTATTAAACCGGTTATTAATGCTTTCTTTCCAAGAAACGGCGCTTTGTATTCTGTACAATCTCGTATTAATGGTGCGTTCAGGGAATAATCTTTTTATTCTTCAAAGAACCCTCGAAGGGACGTAAATCGTGATGCTATCGGTTGCGAGGAGGGCAGAGAAAGCGTATTCGCGTGACGATTTTTCCAAGGGAAACAGAATTAACCGAACACGGGTGCCGCCGGTTAAGTTCCCTCCCTTAGGATCGGCGTTCTTTTTCGCTCACGCGACACCGTCGCATCGGCTCGCAATAAATTCATCGTGGCACAAAGAGAAACGAAACTCAAGAAGGCGCACGATGCTTTATGTCTCGCATCACGCGACCCACCGATAACATTAACGAACCAATCCCAATCTCGTGCCTTTCTTCGGCCTGCCCTCCCCTCGCCGGGGGTGCGAGTCGAGGGTGAAAGTTATCGTTTCGGCTGACTACGCTCGCCTTCTTCTACTAGCCCACCCTTTCCTCCGTTGCAGGATCGCCGCTTCCGTTGCCTTTCTTCTTCTCCTTCTTGTTTGGCCCACTTTTCTATATCGCGTAGTTTTTCATTCGACTAACTCCGATTTTTATTAAATACATCCTTGTTCATAAATTTTACAATTAGAACATGTCGATCGTAAAATATATAACGATTGAACTATATGAATGACCAAACGAAAATATGACTGATTTATTATAGGATTACCACTGTATGATTTATCAAATATACGCAATATATTACCATCGCTTTTATTAAAGCAAGAAAAATTGCCTGGACGTAGTCAAAGTTGATATGAAACGGTGCCGAGGAATATCGTCACTAAAATAATTGTCCCCAGTTAGTAGCGAAGTTGACAGAATTCCTGAACAGTTGTAGACGAAATTGTCTCGAGACAGACTCGCTTGCTCGATAACGAGCGTAGAATTCACGAGGTGATGATTAACCTTACCTAGTCGAGCAGTCGTTAGTTAAGGAAGCGCTGCTTTTCAAGCGACGAGAAATGGATTTGTTTCGTGACGAATTGGCCAGCTTGGCTGGGGCAACTATCCTCGATTCGTAAACGTCGGTGCGCGCTAGAACAACGATTTGTCCGGGTTCTCTAAACGATTTATCTAGACTCTAGCCACTACACGTAGAAAATTGCGCAATACTCGTTTGCACGCAAGAATAGATTCGTTAAACTTCGCTTTGCCGATTCTCGAGAATCTACGCATTTCGTTCTTCCGCTCGACGTATCCAGTGTTCGAGAGCTATTCGATTTGAATAGCGATACGGTGACGCACTCGAACTCAGACGTTTTCATTTAGCCGTCGTGCGGGTCTCTTTCTTTCCCGCCTTAATTCTTCGCCCCTATTCGCAGCCCTCTGTGCCGTGTTCGCGCCACCTGTTCATTTTCATCAAGTCCTCGAGCACTTACACACTGACTCCCGTAACGAACGGGTTCCCCTCGCATCTACCTATGCGACGGCTCGATAACGATCGACTCTCGCGACGCGAGTAATCTCGTCTTTTCATACTACACACATCATCGTCGGCCGTGTCATCTTTCTTGGTTCTCAGGTGAAAAACTGTTCATTTAGGAATAGACGAATTCAACGTGAGAGGATTCAACGGAACTCGAAGCAGTTTAAAAAATGTTTGTTGACTTTCCAATAGAGAAAGTCGACCAATTGAAAGTCAAGCATTTTATCTGTCGATAAGCAAAGACACTCGCGGCCTTCTAGACAAATTCAGAGGAGAGAAAGCGCGTTGTGCTAGCAACGCAAACAACCGCAAGCTCCACGGGGGGTGGGTGGCAGTGGGCGGAAAGGGCGTCGTACGAGCGTGAGAGACGACACGGTTCGATCGGAGTCTGGATGGAGCCGGAAGCGCGTGAGAATTCAGCCCTTCCCCGCGAGAGAAGACGGCTCTCACTAGAAAGAAGCTGAACAGGCAGACCTACGGAAGGATCTCATCAGGAGGGTGCAGTTAGCAGCATCTGGCGTTGAGAGGGAGCGAAGAAAGGGGCGCGCGAACGGGAGGATCGTGAATGAAAGAAATGGATGAAAAAAAAAAAAGAAATATCGAGACAGAGCGCGATTCTTCGAAACCGGGGTAGTCGCTCTCTTCTCGCGTTCAAGTCGCGAGCGGTCTAAGAAGAAAGTATTCCGAGTCCGCGTTACGAAGGGTGAGCAGCGGTACATTAGCCGCAAACGGGATACCCAGAGGATCTTTCAAACTGTCGTCAACGCTTAAGCTCTCCTCCTTTTCCTTTCGGATTCGGCAACGGCAATAAGGGCTTATGAAAATCGTGCCTCTTCGTCAATCGTTAAGGGCTGCTCTCCTTCCATGAATAGCAACCCGTTGAACGAGACTCGCTGTCAGAGCGAAATGGTCCTCGTGAATCTTTCAGCAATCTACGAGCTGACTCGCCAAAGATCAAACGACCCTCGGGCTCTATATCACGCGCGCTGCTATTACGTTTGAAAAAACGTTGACTAGTATATCAAGAAAACAGATGAAATATAATGACCTAAAAGCATTCGTGCCGATATTGTTTATATATCAGCGTATAAATTAATACGTACAAAAAAAAGACAGAATAATGAATGGCATTTATGTCCGCGTTCCATTACTCGGCAATCAGCCATGATGCATTGACCACTCGTTAACGGCCGCACTCTTTGTGCCGATATATCACTGCAGGCTAAAAGGTATGCGCGACGTTCCATCGGCTCGCTGCGGATGGTTTCACGTGTTTCACCGCGTCAATTACCAGCAACGATGAATCGTGCTCTCGTTAACGGTGGCCCGAGCTGCGCGATAAATACTCCGGTTATTTGATCAGCGCCAGGGCCTTATTGCATAAACAGTTTCACCCACAATATCGGCCATAAAGAGAGACAGGGGCAAACAAGAAAGGAACATAACTCGCGCGAATTCGCCAGGTTTCGACCACGTGAAACGACGCGCGTGTCGTCGCCGCTCGAGCAGCGCGGTGATTAATTAAAACCGAGGTTAATATACGGGTCGAGGCGCGGCTTTAAGAGCAATTCATACTGTCCCTGGGGTCAACCACAGGATACTCTTAAGCCGGTTCCACGATTGAAACAGTCAACGAGATTGTCTTTCCATCTAACTTAACGGGTTACCCAGCTCATTCTGAGAAGACTCAAATCAAGTTTATGTATTCAATCGATTCGCCCATCAGTTCTTTAAATGGTTTTTAAATACCTTATCTGTAAAACGCTTAGTTCACCTTTTTATACCTTTTCCCAGCATTCAAACTGACATTTCAAACTTTCGCAGTTGAACGCGACCGTTTGCGGTTCTCGTGGGACCGCAGGAATCAATTCCAGAATGAAAACGTGGATTGTCCGATGTAGATACATCGGCACAGTTACAGGTGCGGCGCGTATCAATTTTTGACGGATCAAGCGGTCTCGGTGGCGCCGCGGCGCTTATATCCGTTGTATCCATTAAACTCTCGTCAGCCAGGCATCCGAGCGTCGGCCTACGGACTTAAGCAAGTTTGATGAAAGTTTTCCCTGTGGAAGGAAAATTAGATGACGCGAAATATCCTTCGTCTCCCCATTTCCATGGACCACCTACCGAAGCTTCATGCCTGCTGACGTTGGATTATGAATATTTCATTTTTTTCTGCGGAACACCGTAGACCCGTGCACCCTCCCAAAGGGCTGACGTGCACGTCGATGGACGCGAGAGGCGTTCATTGTTTGCGGACAATGAGCTGCTCGAGAGTAACCTTATCGACGTCTCGAGGTTCCACTTCGCGAAACAGCTCGGCGATGCTCAAACTTTGCTGTCTGTTCGCGCGAACTTTCTCAACGACCCAGGAAACGTTTGCGAGCACGCTGTGAAATACATTTTCCAGGATAACGCTTCGTAATACTGATTCATTATTTACATACTGATCTTGCATGTTCGTATTTCTCCTGTGCATTCTAAAATTGCTTTGCCACCAATATTTTAATTAGCTCAGGGATAATTAAAACAATTTTAAGACAACTTGAATAGGAACTGGTGCAAAGTTCGACGACATAATTGAGAATACCTAATGTGTAGATGCAAGAACTTTGAGTGACAAGTTTCGTTTCTCTGTTTCAGCTCTCGGAGCTCGAGCAGCGGGTATTGGAAGCGGAGGGCCGAGCCGACGAGGCGGAGGACAAGGTAAGAATAAATTAAGTACGATCAATCGTTTCGTCATCCACGGAGAACACCTCTGCACCTACGCATATTTTTCTCGCATTAAAATGTCGGTCGTCCTTTCGATTCCCCGGTTCGTTAACGTTTCCTTGAGCTCGTAAACAGCCATTCGGGTCACTCAAGAGAAATCTAAACGTCGGTACACCGTTCCTCCGATCGATCCTGTGTAAATAATTACGCTCGGTCGCAATTAATGGAACGGGCGGTGTCGTTAACGTTAACGGCTCGACCAACTGGCCCGCGAAGACACAGGGAATAAATAATTAAATTAAGCTAGTGGTAACGACGTTCCTACCCAGTGCTTCCGCTCGTTTGTGCCATTCCGTATATCGGCTGTTTCGTTTTAATTTAACCTCGTGAACGTGACGAGAATTAAACTGAATTTAGCTAAACGAAGGAGTCGGTTGAAAGATCATAGATTATTTCGAACAATCGATGGACCGGCACGTTGCACTGCGGGTCTGCGCGCTCTTTGACCTTTACCTTGCCCCTGATTTTCTGCTGGGAATATCAAGTTCTAGTTGAACCGTGAAACATTAAATTCAGCGAACCGAGTTAATTACAAGTTCGTGCATAAGTTGCCGGAGTAGAATATGGAAAGACGTTGCTCTACGTTAATTAACGCTTAACAAATGCCTGCTATTTCCCATATGCAACGCATTGAATCATTTGTTGACTTATTAAATGAACACCCGAGTCTTACTGTAGTTTTTATTTGAATTTCATGGTGAGCAGTTGAGTGAGTGTTTGTAGCTCCACGTGTGAATATCGATACTGCCTTACCGACTAGAACCACCCTCTGTTTGGGGATGCCGTTGCTCGCTCGCGGACTATCATCTCCACCGAGTTCTTCATCGATTTTCTTTTCCGACCTCGTACCCCTATAACCAGGCGTTTACCGACAGATACTCGAATTTCCATACAATCTTAGCTCGATTTGGTACCAACCACAGGCAATTCAACATTTTTCAGCTCTGCACTTGATGTAGTCAATTAAATTCATTCACGTCCTCAAGATAAAACCTTTTGTTCCAAGTGTCTCCTTTGATTAACATTTTTCTTGGTTTTGCATCAATTATGGTAAATATAGATGCAGAAGAAGTTCGATCTTTATGAACTGTGGGAATTTAGAGCCTCCAAGCTTTCATTAATGAAAAAGTCGTTCCGGAATTCTTTAACAGAATACGTCCAATTTCTACTAACCGATAGGAGGAAAAGTTTGATTTACCCTCGCAGTAGAGTAGCTCCGAGAGGGAAAGTTCTGTCGGTATATTCCGGAGGATCCGGGGGTGTCAGAGCGCATGTTATGTCGCATTGATTTTTACGTTCGGTCGACGAGAAAGACAGGAACCGCGAGCACGGGAGAAAGACGACCAGCTGGGACCGCTGATAGACGAACGAGGAGGGCACGAGAGGCGGAAGTGAGAGAAGCGAACGACGGAGAGAGAAAGAGATAGGCGACAATATGGCCGTACGACCGGCCGTCAAGACCGTCGTTTTGTTATGACCTCGAAATTCGGCCGAGAACTCGAGCGTTCGTGAACCACGTGCATCCGCGGCCTGTGACTCGTTCGTAATCGTTTCTCGATCTCTTGATCCACGTCGCGGCCTTCGACCGTGACGAGAAGAACCGACCCGAGAAAGCAGCGTCGACGGAATCAACGCGTTCCTCAGAATTATGGAGCCTGGCAGGTGACACCGATGAAAGGTAAACCCTCTCGTCACCAGGCACCCTCGAACGTCCGAATTTTAATTCACTCCCATGATTTTTCTTGCTCGTCGCGATTGTCTTTGATGTTCCATCTTTGGTCTCTAGCTTCTGGATTCGGTGATCTTTGACGAAGCCATTCTCCTACGTAACTCTTCTCCTTGAGTAAACTGTAAGTCTTATTTCGTGTAAGATTCTGCTACTTAGAAACAGTCGATTGTATTAAAAAGAATTCTCGCCAAGATGCAAAATCCTACAGAAGCTCCTAGGGCTGTTCCTTTGAATCGCTTCTTAGAAACAGCTTTTATTGCAACGTATCTAAGATATATAATCGAAATCAATGAGTTACATTCATGTTTTTTGACCTGAACTTGAATTCTATTAAGATTTATAGGTGCGCGTTGATCGTAATTAAATCGAACGAGGTTCGCCAGTGCGTTGTCACAGTGTGTCGCGAATGGTAGGAAACAAGAGTGGAAGAGCGACTTAGCTTTGACGGGACGTGTCGCGTATAGAATTGGAGTTTGGCCAATTCATGAGTAATCCTCGTTTCCCATGAGCACCCGCAACCGCGAACAAAATATAATGGTGCGCGTAGACGACTCCTTTCTCGTTGCCCGCGCACAGTTTCTTTAAATATTTCAAAGCAGCCGTGGTACCGGCCTGCCTCGAATGTTTCGTCTACGAGGATTTTCCTTCAATTCTCCAACTACACCCCTACGTACAGAATTTTTTGTTCAATTAAATTACCTACAGTCTTTCGCACAGTCTTGCGCAATTTGTATTTCTTGAACGATCTTTACAAATATGTTCTCAAAGAGAAACAGAAGTTCGTCGGATAAAAGTTCTCCGTTTTCAATCTGAATCTGAATCGATCAGGTTTCGAAACAATCGTTTTAATTTAATCCACTTTCCAGCTCTCTTCCAATTACTCTTGTCTCGTACAGTTCCTCGTTAACATGGAACTCGCGGGATACAATTCTTGAGCCGACGACGACGCGTTTCTCACGCGTTCGTCGGTCGTTGATCCATTTAGCCGCAGCCGCAGTTGCGGTCGTCTGTTGCTTTCTTTTTCTCCTGTTCCCTCCGTGACTCGTTGCCCCGAACGATCGTAGCTGAATGAATGTTACATGCACGTACGTGTACGTTAACGGGCCGCTTTTGGCGGGAAGCCAGCGCGATTCGACGGTCCGCAGCCGTGAGAGGTGATACCGCTTTGTCGCGTGCACGCGCACGTGCGCTGGACCAGCATGAAAAGATAAGGGGGGCCAGCTTATGTATATCTACCACTCGTCCCATCGTCCGAGGCCTCTCTTATGTTCTGTACTCCACCCATCCAATTGGATGAAAGGGAAAAGTAGTCCTTTGCTACTGAAAGGCTTTGGCAAACTTCGATCGTGCAGCAGTACGATTTCCAGATGTTTCCAATTAAGGAGACTAAATATAAAACTACTGTAGAATTATATATATTTATGACACATAATTACAATGTACAAAAATGAAAAGAACGTTCTTCAGAAAATTAGACAGACAGCCGTTTCGTAGATCAACAGGGTTGGTGGTCGATTATTCCAAAGCGATGCTATTTCTAGTCTCGCATTTCGCTTTCGGAACTGTCTTCAGCCGTACGCGAGACGAATCGATGAGTCTTCGGATAAAGTTCAGACATCCGCGGAAATCGTTCGATCGTCTGATGAACTCGGCGTGCTCGCTGAATTAAACAAACGCGATGCCGATGCCAAGTCCATTCCCCTTTGTCTACCTTGAGAAATCCAATGAACTGACGTTACTATGTGTTCTTTCGTTTAAGACTACAATAATTTCTATCTCGATTCTCAGTTCTATATAAATCAATATCGGTCTAAAGAATGGCGAGACGAGCATTTATCAGGCAGGATCTCTGGTCCTGATATCTTATCGATCGTAAAAGAAATTCTAGTAAGCAAAAGAGAAAGGGCGAATGAGAGTGAGAGAAGGAACGGTCGTTCATCGCAGGACGTGTCGTCGACCGGGCGCAGGCCTACGATAGAAACGTGGACCAAACCGATAAATCTCAAGACTCAGGGAGTCAGTTCGGAGAGTGAATTTAGAATGTCGCGTTTCCGTCGACGATTTTTTCTAATTTCTGTAGTGGTAAAAGTATAGCTAAAGAAGCTGTCCGTCTGACGACGGCTGTCAACCCGACGACGTATTCTCACCCCTGGAACGGTGTGTGCGTGTACACGAGGACCTCTACGAATTCTGCCATTGGCCAAGAGCCAACGTGACTCATCGGCCGACAGAAAACGCCGGAGAGAGTTTACGTGCATCGGTTCCGTTCAGTATGGTTCGATCATCGGCAACGTGCGCAACCCCTTTCGCTTTCCAGCATCCCCCGTGGGACGTACCGTCGTTTCCGTGCGGGAGTGTCCTCGAGTGCTCTCGTCGAGAGAAGGGTTGAAAGAAGTCTTCAATTGATTCTGATCACACTATCAGCTATCATGGCCACTCGAAGTCTCGGTAAGGAATCGAAACGTTTATCGTTTGTAAGCTTCGTTAAACGATTTAAAGGCGTGATCGTGGTTTCGCACAGTACAAGAACGTATCGTGCCGACGAGAGTAGCATAGGGTTGTAGCACGTGACTCGATTTGCAGTGAAATGGGCTAGTGTGCTGTGCATTGAAGTATATCTGGAAAGATACTTCCGAGGAGTGACGGTGCTATTAATACTCTACCCTACCATCGTTGATTCATGTGGCTTTGTTACTCATCGCGCAGAAATATTGTAACTTTCTTCAGTTACTCGTTAGGCTTTCGCATACAAAACTGAATCCTATTGAAGAAATATCTGTAAAGCTATATAACTTGTTTGAAAAGAGATGTTGAAAAATTGCAAGAAGGAAAGGAGTTGTAATCGCGCGGTCATCGACTCGTGAGAGAGCACGACAATGAGCGTGAAAACGGACAGGATGATCGATATAACGTACGCCATGAGGGAAATACTTGGCCGGAGGATTTCCCCGGCGTATTGATTTTCTCCATGCTCTTCTCTCCCCTTTTCGGGGCTTAGTGGACGTGGAGCGCTTACGTATCCTTGTCCCATGCGATTATCGATTTTTGACAGCTGCTGCGATACGAACACCATAGTAGTTAGCCACCGTGCCAGAAAAGGGGTGCATGAGGTCCACCGCACGCAACGCGAAACTGATCGTTTTCTCTCTCTCCCTCCTGTTTCTCTCTCTCTTTTTTTTTTACTACTACGCTTTGTCACCGGTGTTTACACACGACGATCCCACGCCACGCGTATCCCGCTGCCATGCTCCTTCGATCACGACCGGAAACGTAGCATGATCGCGTGACGCTTTCCAAACCGACGAAATTCGCCGGGCATAAAGTTCTCGGGTGGACATTAGGCTGACTCGTCCGCAGGAAGTTTTGGGACGGGACGGTTTATCACGGTTTTGTTTTTTGGTCAAATATAAAAAGTATTTTAAGAGAAAGATCACAACTTATCATTCATGTCTACTACCTGTTCCCCTCTATCGAGAATCAAAATATTTGTTATGACTGTTCTCCAGAAATCGGAGTTTAAATACACGCAGAGTAAGATTTGTTCGAGATGGATCGATGTCGAGCTTTTGTAAGTTATGATTGTGAAGAACGCGTTGCATCTGTTTTAGGTACGGATGATGGAGGAGCGGCTAGTGAAGGGTGAATACTGTTTGAGCACATCAGGCGTTGGTTCTCCACCTCATTCGCTGCCGTCGACTTCCGGTACGCAGAATGACAAGATCGACGACCCCCACTGTGCTTGTATCTCGAAGCTAGAGACACAGGTCGAAGAACAGGTAATAGGAATTACCGCTACGAATCATTCTTCTTACTGGATAATTTCACTTCTAAGAAACTTTACCAGGCATTATCTCTGATATCTGACACGCAACGTCGGGAAAAACATGATAAAGATGATTTCGTATTAGATTAAGTTATGACCTCATACAGTTGATTACCGACTTGCAGAGGCAGTTGCGGCTTCAAGACGCGAGACAGGTTGAGGCGAAAGCCGCGAGAATAAAGGAATGGGTGACCAATAAGCTAAGAGAACTGGAACAGCAGAACCAGCACCTGAGGGAACAGAATAACAAGTGCAACCAACAATTGGAATTGCTGAGAAATCACATAACGAACATCGGCCTGAAACCACCTGTGAGTTTCACTCGATCTGTCATGTTTGTTTATGTGTCTCGTGATAATTTGTTTGATACACTAGATGAACTCTTAGGAACTACACCGTGCAAACTTATTAAAAAAGGAATTGCATTATTTCCAGGTACCCGCGAGAGCGTCTCTGTCTCTGGAAGTAGATCCCACGTTGCGCAGACGATCGGAGAGTTTGGAGGGAACGCCACAGGCGGTACCGGAAAGCGTGCAGAGCACCGTTGCGGAACCGCAAGCTAGTACCAAGCATCGGAGACACCTGTCCGCGTGCGGAACTATACAACGAGGGGTCGCGACCACCAACATGGATTCGAGGCAGGAAAAAGCACTTTTTCATCGATCGCTTGTATTGTCTCTCTGCGATAATCGCTTCTTTCGCTTTCTGCCACCGCCTAACATTCTAGTCTGTAACCTAGCGTAAATATAGCGATTCTCCTTGGGAGGTCTCACGACGTGATAGCGGCGCCCGACTCTCGAAATGGTGGTACCCTGTAACGTCCTGAGACTTCCTGCGGGGATCTGTCGACCCATATATGACTTCTCTTTCTGCTCCGTTGAATGTTGAGCTTTCATTTTTTTATTTTAGTTCTGTAATTATTTACGGAGCTGTTGTCAATGTTACGTTCTCGTCTACGAATCACTGTGTATTTGCAAAACTACATTAAGATTTAAGAGAGATTTTTCTCGAGCTTTATTCGTTGGTATCCGATAAATCGTGGATGAGAAAGTACCGATACGATATGAATGCATTGTTAAATTTCGTTCCGTATTTTATGCTTCTTGTTCTTTTTTCGCTCTAGTCTGCTATCGGAGGAACTCGCGGCTGCGGTGGAGAATCTAGTGATGTTACCGAACATACCTGGCATCTCGGAGACGAGCAGAGACAGCGGGAGCTCGGAGGCTATTCACGATTACGCGGAGATCTACACGCCAAGCAGGGAGGGAATGAATTGGACCCAAAGCGCACAGGGTCCTCGACCACCGACTCCGCCTTTGCACCGGTTCCCAAGTTGGGAGGCGAAGATTTATCAAGTACGAGTCATATTGTCTTACTGCTTATTTTCCATTAGTTCGGAATGAGCAAAGTATACGTATACGAGAGAGCACGTTCGGTATGTTGTCACAATTTGTAACGAAACAAATGTATTTACCAATAGGTAGCGGACGGCGGACTTGGCATCGGTCCACCGACGAACGAGGAATCTGCGCCCTCCACGATGACCAACACAACCAGCTCGTCGAAACATTCTCAGGCGACAGGACACAACTTGACCGCGCACAACTCTCAAGGCTATTGCGATATTTCGGTTCCAGTCTACGCAACGGTCAAGGGTAAGCTATCGTTACTTTTTATTCCCTCGTTGATGTCAGAAACGAACCTCATCGTTCTGTTCCGCGTTACAGGACGTGCCAGTCAAATTCGATCTATGCCATTCGGCGATAGTTCCGATGACAGCTCGGACGGTGAAGAACATCCGAATCAAACGGAAACTAACACCAGAATCACCAATAGCTCGTCGGACAACACGGACTCTTCGCTCGGTAGTGGAAGCAGTCCGTCGAAAAGCGTTAAAACCACCAGCAGCCTTAGTCCTGCGAAGAGGAGCTCCAGCGGATCCCCGAGTAAGAGCGTAAAACGTGGTAAGCATTCAAAGCTCCAGGAAACTTTTATATTAAACACACCTCATGAAAATCGTCTCGTTTATAGATACCTCCCTCGAATCTGGTCTGTCGGAAGACTACGCGATACCTCCCGACGCTCTTAGCTCGACCTCCCTTGAATCTAGTATGCCTAGCCTGCTGATGCGCGTCTCTGGCGAAAGTCCGAAACGCCAAGAATCTTTAGAGAAAACTGGTCACCTCGCGAAACTCGGCGGTAAATTAAAAACCTGGAGGAAGAGATGGTTCGTGTTGAAGAACGGAGTACTCACGTATTGGAAGAGTCAAAATGATGTGAATCGAAAACCTCAAGGCCAAATCGTATTGGACGAAGTGTGCAGGTAATTATTTGTTGACCTATTGCACACATGTTCTTTCTACAAATTGAAGATACAAGTAGATAAACGTAATTGATTTCTCTGAACAGGATAAACAGGGCAGAAGGTGCTGCCACGTTTGAAATAGCAACAGGGAAGAAAACATATTACTTAACGGCGGACTGTATCGCGACGATGGAAGAGTGGATAAGGGTTCTGCAGAACGTGCAGAGGCGAAACGCCACAAAACTTTTGCTCAGCAAGGAGGACAACAAGCCGACGATACAGGGATGGTTGACGAAGGTGAAAAACGGGCATGCCAAGAAGTGCTGGTGCGTCCTCATCGGAAAAATGTTCCTTTACTTTAAGTGCCCTAATGATACGGTAAGTTATTTATCTTTCTTCATTTAATGAGTCAAAAGCCAAACGAGCATTAATGAGATCCTCGATCGTATTTCAATTTTAGAATCCTATTGGACAAATAAATATGAGGGACGCCCGAGTAGAAGAGGTCGAACATGTGTCCGACAGCGATAGCGAGGAAAGGGACGCCGAGTGTACTCATGAAAGGACGATCGGTATTTTCCCTACTCATCAGGGTCCCACGTACCTGTTGATGCCCCACAAGCAAGAAAAGGATAATTGGCTGTACCACCTGACTGTGGTTTCCGGAGGTGGTCCTAGCGCGGGAACTCAATACGAACAGCTGGTGCAAAGATTGATGGAAACCGATGGGGATCCCAGCTGCGTTCTCTGGAGACACCCGTTGCTGCTTCACACAAAAGAGAATATCACTAGCCCACTGACCAGCCTGACATCCGAAGCCTTACAAACCGAGGCCATCAAACTCTTCAAGGTGAACAGCGTTATCGTTTAAAACGTAATATTCGTTGTACAATAAAAATTAGATTTAGATGAGATCTTTTTTGTGTCTCAGGCTTGTCAGTTATTCATGTCGGTGGCAGTGGAGCAAGCAGGCATAGACTATCATGTGGTACTAGCACAAAATGCGTTGCAACAATGCCTTGATCAGCCTGAACTACAATCTGAATTCATATGCGCACTGGTAAAGCAGACAAGTCGTCACACTCAACACCGTTTGGGCGTACAGGTAAAAAAGGCCGCCAGACTTGTGTCGCTGGGTACTGCGCGCGTTGTAAGTCCTGCTTATTGTTTAACAAACACTCTGAACCCTGTACCATTTTTGCAGTCAACGTTCGTAACGTAATTTATTATCGAAGCACTTTAACTGTTGGCCTAACTTAATTATTACCGAGCCAACGAGTTAAAGATTTATTCAGAAAATAATATCGAGAAGAAAACTTTAATAATATCGAGAAGAAAACTTTAACAATCGTGTGTGCAATGTGTTTGAAAGAAATGGTACATCGGGTACGCTTAGTCAAGTATTATACGAAATAATATCGTTGAGACGTAGCGGTGAACTGTTTTTTAGTTGTCCTTTTTCATTTTTTCTTCCGTAAGGTAACTAACTAATAATTAATACAACTATGACTGTCGTTTGTTTGCAAAAGGAATATACTATATACAATAATAATAATACTTGACGAAGTCTTTAACAAGAAAAGATTTTAGTTTTAACATTCATTCACATTTCATTTTCATTTGCTGCTTTACGTGTGCTCTACCTAGGCTACTCTAAAATCGCATGCGGATTTCTCGATATATTCTTGTTCTTTTTTTTAAATTTTATTTTCCTCATAGAACATCGCCGTGTTTTAAGTTCACTTTATTTTTATTGTGTAATTTTTTAATATTTATACATGATACCCAATCACCTGTACCCTTGATACCCTATCACGTGAGCCGAACATATTTCGACAATTCATCTTTCATACCAGAACGATCAATAGTGAATTCGTTATACATTTCATATCATCGATCATACTTCATCATTGACGCATTATCGATCGATCCATCGTTTGAATTTTGTTATTTTTTCGAACGAATAACTATGATCCTCGCGACTTGTCAAAATACGTTCTGCGGCACACACACTTGCAGAATGGTATGTTGGTGTACATAAGAAACCACACACAGAAAAACATCTTTTTTACTAGATTGGTTTTTGTTTCTGTTTCCGTACGTTTTTTTGCTCGATAGTTCATTACAATATATCTGTTTTTGAATGCTGCTTAGAAAAATTAGTCTCTGATTATTCGGTCACAGACGAAGTTACTTAAGAAAAATGATTTCAAAAGAAACGTATATAAATGAAGAATAGCAACCACAACTATGGAAGCTCCTTACAAGTTCGAAAGCTATGTACCGTTTAAGTATAGCTTCGAAAATAAAAAAAAGAGAAATTCGGTTTAACAGACGAATAAGAGACAAATAAATGCTTTCGAGCTGTAAGGTTGACTCATCATGTCCATAAAAGAAGAAGAATAAAATACAAGAACGCTTCTCTCATCCACATTTCTCTTAATTCATTACTACGATTTAATTACGATCCATGCGTTTTATGTGATTAACACACATAGAGTTATGCGTTAATCAGTCCGATTTCGATTGCTTTACATACTAACAGGCGTTATACATAATATAACGTGAGTGTTCCATTGAATTTTAAAGACGTTCATACGTTTAGCCATCCTTTATACAATTTAAAGTACGATTTAATAAGTCATTGAGTCGTTCCAAAAACTTATCAAAGATTAGAAGCAATAGACGAGGACAGTGGAGCGCGATATATTAAAGAGAAAAGAGAGAAACAGTAGATTAGGTCTGGTTGAATCCAGGGATGTAGTAGTATGCCAGCATACCATTGCAGCAGCTCCTCCTCTGCGCCACGCAATCGCTGTTCACCTGCGATACGCAAAGTCCCGCGGCAAATGGCAGCGGTGAAAATGCGGACGCACAATCGACGGCCTCCACTTCTCACAGTCCTCCGCTCACGCAGGGCCACTCGACGTCTACGATTCTGGACTGCAAAACTAATCCCGCCCAGTACGTTCTTATCCAGGGATGGCAGCTGCTCGCGCTAGCTGTTTCTCTATTCCTACCGAGGAACAATCGGCTACTCTGGTACCTGAAATTACACTTGCAAAGAAACGCGGACACTAAGTGAGTAACACTTTTTCTTTTATCAAATCTCACGCATTCGATTCTTTGCTTTCGAGAATTTAAATAATTATCGGATATTAATACGAAATCGTTTGAATTCCCATCAGAACGGAATGTGGCAAATACGCAGCTTATTGCGAGAGAGCATTAGAAAGAACATTGCAGAACGGCGGAAGGGAAGTCAAACCCTCGAGGATGGAAGTACTGTCTATTTTAATGAAAAATCCTTACCACCATTCATTACCGCACGCAATACCGGTTCACTTTCTGAACGGCACGTATCAAGTCGTCAGCTTCGACGGTAGCACAACGATAGAGGAGTTTCTGAACACGTTGAACCAGGAAATCGGTTGTCGCGATGTTCACCAATCTGGCTTCACATTGTTCAGCGACGATCCGATCGAGAAGGACCTTGAACATTTCATCGATCTTCAAGCAAAGGTCTGCATATTTAGAGAACTCGCGGATTCTAATAAAATGTATAAATCTATTTATTCTGGCACGTTGACGTGTTCGTTTCAGCTGTGCGACATAATTTCAAAGTGGGAAACTGCGTTAAGAGAAAAGGGTTCGGGGAAGTTTGAAAACACCAGAGTCATACAATTAACGTACAAATCGCGATGTTACTGGAGACATGCGACTAAAATGGAAACCGACAAGGAGAGGCTTCTGCTATGTTATCAAGTAAATCAACAGGTGGTGCAAGGCAAGTTTCCGGTGAATCGGGAACTCGCATTCGAGCTTGCATCCTTAATGGCACAGGTAAGCCTCTCTTTTGAATTCATTTTTCTGGATGAGTTTAAATATGCGGTTCAAATTTCGCTGTAGATCGATATTGGGGAGTACAATAACGATAGAGCCCGAGGTAGCGGTCCAGGAAGCAATCCACATCATTTAGTGCTTCAAGCGTTAGACAAGTTTTATCCTATCCGATATCGGTCAAACATCACTACCGATCAATTGAGGCAAGTATCATAAAAACTGACAAAAAATAAATCTTCGAGTATCGTTCATATTTTAATTGAATATTTCCTTGTTACAGAGAACTGCAAGAAAAACTGCAAGATAAATGGATCGCGTTGAAAGGTCGCAGCGTATTGGACTGTGTTCGCATATACCTAACTTGCACCAGAAAGTGGCCCTTCTTCGGAGCTACACTTTATCAAGCAAAGGTCAATAACAGAACCACTTTTAAAGATTGAAAATTAGGAATGATATAGTTTAAACGTACTTTCGCTTCACAGTTGAAACAAGCCGAGCCGATAACCGTATGGATAGCAGTTAACGAAGACAGCGTAACACTGCTGGAATTGCAAACGATGGCGGTGATGTGTCGTTACAATTACGCGAATATAGTTACTTTCGGTGGATGCTTAGACGATTTTATGCTGGTCGCTTGTCCCGACGAAGGTGCCGCTGAACAGAAGCTGTTGTTTGCGCTTTCGAAACCTAAGGTACGTCGCGAAGTAAATTTGTCGGGTTTAAAAGGAATTAAAATGTTCCGTGTACGTACAGATTCTGGAGATAACATTATTGATTGCCGACTATATGAATGCCTTGGGACACACGCTACCCGGTACCCCACAGATGAACACCTTGACACGCAACGGATCTCACAGATCTATCAAATCGACCTTAAGACCCACAACTGGTTTGTAGGAAAACGTGTATAATCTGCTCTTTTTCTTCTTTCTTGGTAATCGAATGATAATTGAATCAGGTTCGAGCTGTCTTCCAACGCAACCAGATATCTTAAAGTCGACGCCAGATCACCAAAGACCTTGAGACAAGGAAAAATGGAAAAAAGATGAGAAGGGAGAATCACGGCATTTGGTTCACAAAAGTCTGACCCTGCCAAGGCACTAACTTTATACTCGAAGGTACTACGGGCTGTATTATAAGGATCTGCGTGAAACGATACACCAGAAGACGCGCTTAGTTATCTCTAATGCGTTTCGTGTAAATTGCAAATTATGCTTGTGACATTTCTTTTTGTGTACATACATAAATACATACACACATATATACCTAACAGCCGTGGTCCACGTTAAACGTGGGTGACTGAAATCAATCGGAAACGATCTGCAACACTGCCTAAAAAAAGTAAATTAGTATGTCTGATGTTACATCGAATGGTTTGATTGAAAAGAGAAAAGAAGCTAAGCATTGTGTGCTGAGACTTTTTTGCTACCGTATTTATATACCAAATTCGAAACGTTTAGCGTAAGGTAAACTAAACAAAAGTGGTGTATCGCGTACTATGTATATAAATAATCGAAGTTATTGGATGTTTTAGAAGTCTAGTTGAATGACGCAGCGATATCTTTGTCTTTGATGTGAGAGTACGTCGACGAAATTACTTTACTTCTTGCCAAATCGACCGCAATACGCGTACGACGATGAACGAGAACGCGCATGTGATTACGCAAATGATGGATATGCAGGTTTTTCTTTTAAGGTTTTGTTTAAAAAATGCTAGATATATACCAGATACAGTAACTGTACTTACTGTCGTCGTAAGTGCAAAGGTTCGACCTCGAGGATCATTCTATTCGGGTGTAATATTCCGTTTCGCCATGAAAGTATCAGTTTCTAATATCGGGAAGATAGTCAATTCAAGACAGTAAGTACAGGCAGTATTAAATTTAAGTCTCGTTGAATTCGAAGCTCAATTATAGAAGAGAAGATCCTTTATATTGTGGAAAGTGACAAAACGGAACTTACATATATTGTCGTATTATTTTGATAACAGCTAGTCTCATATTTTATATTTATTTTAACGGTAAGCGAATAAGAGTTCGGTTTTATATAAGGACACGACCAAATAGATTGTAATGGGAACGCGTTTTCTTTAATAATTAGTATATCGTTCCTGCGGTAACGTAACATGCAACATTTTTGTACTAATTAAAAAGCAACAGTGATCCCTGTATCACGTATAGAAGTTTTGTACTCGCTTGACGTGTCCTACGTAACTAGCAAAATGTCTTCCTTCTCTTTAGTACCCAGAAATAAAATAAAAGTTGAATGTAGGGCTTTCGTGCAATACGTACAAGACTTCTATAATTTTGTAATTCCTGAGATAGGCTGATTATGACTGTGCCTCTCTGATCAGAATAGACAAAGTAAAACTTATGCACGGCTTCGTTTAGCGCATTGAAGATTTATATAAAATGAAGTGAAAGAAACGATCGAACCTCAGATTACTGGGAGCAGTACAAAGATATGCAAGAACGACATTTTGTCTTTAATTTTTATAATACGCACTGAAAAATGCTACTATTTAGGTGCTTCGCACCTTTATATCGTGATGGGGTAAAAGAAAAAGAGTCACTGAACTTGTAAATATCACATTAGGCTTAAGTTTATAAATATAGTAGAATCAGAATAACGGCAGCTGATGAAGGGCTGAAATCTTCGTAGAAATCGTTTTACGATTTGGCTGTCTACGGAATATTCTACTGAGCCTACCATCTTACATTTCTATTTATTATTTATTCGCATAAAACGACGCATAAAGGCACGAGCGGTGTAAGCGAAATGTGCATTGTACTATTGTACAGAAGAAATAAACTGCTCGGATCTGCACTTTAAAGGACTATTTATTTATTTATCACACATTAAAAATTTTACCTTCCATTCAATCTGTGGCAATTTAATTGTATAGCTAATCTATTTCCTCAGGTCTCACAGGATGAGTTAATGGTATCACCGATTTTTTCTTTACATCCCTTGATAGTGCCTTCCTCATATCTGGAATAAAGATTACTTACTAAAATTACGTTTCAAAACCCTTTTAGAAAGGTAATACAATATTATGTACCAAAAGCATCCTCATCTGGGTTTCCACTATAATATTCAAGGACTGTTCTGTATACAATGTATCCCAATTGCTGATACATGTTGATTGCCACTTTATTGCTGACCCTTACAAATAGATCTACAAAATATGCTTGTTTCCTAAACAAAAGAATTTACATATACATATACATGTTATAAATTTACATGCCTCCAGTTGACTTACTTCTCTGATAGCGCCTCTAAGGAATCTATTAACATTGCAGCTAAGCCAAGCCTCCTGTAGCTAGGTGAAACTGTAAGAGCTGTTATATGTCCATGCCAATTTTCTCCTTGTCCTTCAGCCTTGCCCATTACTTTAATATTTTATTTAATAAGATTCTGAATTTCATAATTTGACATTAACTATATGACACAACTATAAAGACTTACTGTATCCCATAATTTCTCCACTGGGTGATTCTCCCACTTGGAAATATTCTGGCCAATGTGCCAGGTAGTGTGTATAGAAAGACAATGCATACTATCAAGTAAAGAATCAAGAAAAATACAGAACCAAAATTACTTTATCCCATACAACATAATAATCATCTTAACGTAAAGAATATTTAAAGGATACTGTTTCCGTAAGCGGATCTAGATTCCTAGAAGAAATAAAATTATTTACGTAAATAGGTCCTCTCGTTTTTAATTGTGTACTTAGGTTATTAGAAGCACTGATAGTTAACAGGTATGTATTTTAATACTCACACACTATTAAACTTGAACAAATCGTTGCACGTGAAAGGCCTGAGAGTTGTCATGTTTTAAAAACGATGAAGAAGTAAGTAAATGAATCCAACCAAAATATTGTGAGGAAGATTCGGTCTGTACGCAAGTGCCGTCGTTACAATTATCACGTATATCTCCAAACCAATTTTTGGAACATTCAGCAGTTGAAAAATATTGTAAAAATTTAGCAATGTAATTTGACACTGTTCTCGTTCAATTCTATTCAGTTCTTCGCTCGAATTGGCCTGGCTCTAATCAGCTCTAATGAAAGATACTGGAAAGATACCTAAGCGGCGTAGCAGCGCTTCAGTTACTGAAGTAGTTGTTACTGAAGTTCAGTACTGTGTATTCATCCCTTTCTGCATAATGGTATCATCCTTATCTATGATAGTCCTGAAAGAGGTGGGATTTAATTACATCAGCGCCCAGCGGCAGGATCAGTGATCTGTTTGATCTGTATAGATCAGCTCAATGACCAGCGGCTCTATTTCTGTCCCTATTTATCTTATTATAATTGCATGTTTGTACATATTGCTACCCTCAGCTCCAGAGCATTATATTTCATTAAAATTGCTTACATTGTTAAAAGAGAAATAAATGAATATAGAGAAAACTACAATATTATATAATTTGAAAACAACAATTTTATTAAAGTTTTCATAAGAAAAGAATACAAGCAAGGGATATTTTCCTGTAAAGTTTGGAGAACTTATACTAAATTATTTTTTTACAATTTTTTTTCATATAATACTCGTGAACATCAATACGTCATGCCTAAGATGCAGTTAAAAAATATGTCGAGTTGTGCAAACAGTTCTACGGTAAAATATAAAGTGTTAACATGTTTGCCTCGTGCGTTGCACAAAAGAATGATCTACAATTTTTCGTTTTCTTATCTCCTTTGAGCATTACGTATTTTCCTCGCAGATATTAAAAGATTATTGGTTACAATAATTTATCTCTGGAAAAATAGTTGAACTTTTGTTCGTTATACGTACATTTTCGTACATTCAAAAAATGTCATTCACGATGTGCACAGTTGTGTATAAAATAAAAGTTTTAGAGCACCTTTCATACAGAACACTAACGTTGCAAATATCAGTAGGATTTCATAGTATTTCATCCACCGTTTTTATAGCAATGCGTTTAATAAATACTATTTATAAAGGAATATATATGTATACGATGCTTTAAATATGACACAAGCCATCAAGCCATTCAAATATATGTAATAAAGACATATGTCTCAATACTAACAGCAATATAATTATTGGTTTGTTTATAATAAGCATTTATAATATACTGCCGCTTATATGTACAAATATTTTTATAAAAGCGCTAAGAACGAAGTAAATTAACGCACAACCAGCAACAAATCTTCAGTCTATCTAAATTTGCATTACTGATATTCTGTCGAAAAGTGTACTGTATAAAATGTGTCAAATTTTAACAGTATGCTTCGTAATTCATACAGAATATAAAAACAAATGCTCAGTACAATAATTATAAAGTAATAAATTATGTTTGGTTCTAATACATCTGGCGCTGCTCTTTCCCTTTGATTAAATCGTTGCATATTATTGATGAAACTTGACTTTATTAAATTCTATTGTACCACGTGTGTTTTAAATCTAATGTAGCTAAATATCACGAAAATATTGACCCTTATAACAAAGTTAATTATGCAATTTAGCATTATGTTACATCATTCTGTTTCGAATACTCTTGTACATAAACAGAATCCTTTTTATGTTACATTAAGTAATTCGCAAAATCTTAATGTCGATATCGTATGCTTTTATTTTGATTAGTGATATAGTCAAGCTTTTACTCGAGTACCTTTAAATTTGATGTGTGCAATGTTCATAAATGCGAGACATGAATTTCATTCGAAGAATTCCTTATAATACAATTGATGACGTATGTACAATTTGGAATATTATGTTTACCGTTTCTAAAGTTTGCAATCAAGACTAGAAACATTATTTTGTCGGGGCGTGAAGTATTCACTTAAATAAAACAATAACAGCAAATCATCTTATGAACTAAAAACGGACTTACAATAAACTTGATGAATAAGAATTTATTAAATACAAAACATAATAAATTCTTTTTGATTCAGTGTCCTTTCGTTCGTAATCATGTCTTATATCGATATAATAGATTGCATACGTTCTGAATGTATTCATTTGTTACATTTGTTGTGTTAAATGCAATGGAATGCAAAGAAATGCAACAAACATACGTACAAAGACTCGAATGACATTGTATTCTCTTTTATATAATCGGAACATCCGTGCCTATATAACAGAAACTTAATACATACTCTACATATGTAGATAGATGATACCTATGTCTCTATCATTTGATATCAGCAACGATCACATTAGATTTATTACAGAATTACACCTTGCCATAAAATTCATATATCTTTATGATTCTTCTTGTTCAAAAATGTGATAAATATGACAACAGAAATTTAATCGCTACAGCATAACGATGGATTTTATTTCATGTATGTGTGCTGTGCATCGACTAATTATTCCTTTAATTGATCAGTCTAGAAATTGCTTTCGATTTGGGCTGTACTTTTTTTACTTTACAATAACCAATTAGGCAGCATTGAGAACATGTCTTTAGTAACTCCTAGATGTAAGTAATTATGTTTTCCTTTTTTTTCCCGTAACGTGATGTATCATGAATATCTTAGAAACTAATTGTAGGCGTTGATTTAACTATGAAAATTATGCACGAGTGTTGCATACATATCCGTATATACAATTTAACACTGAGGTTTTGTCCGCAGGAACAAGGCACGGCTGACGTATCGTCTTCTTTTTCTTTACTGAATAGCATTATTATTGGTTAAAATTTATTAATGAAATACGCATCTCACTTATTCTGACGAATTTTCCAAGATATCATCTTTATTTCCCAAACAATTTGTATCGAATTTCATACCTAAGTTCTTTTCTCATAAAGTTATGAACTTATATAAATCTTCTAGTACGTGGTTTAAAAAATTATGTTTTATATGATTGACTTCGCATTAAAAAATATGTTTTTTTCTTTTTTTATCATTATCATAAATAAATGGATATCCTTTGAAATGTTATTCACTACCAATACTTCTAAACAGCAGTAACAATTTGCTTGCTACATCTTACGACCTCATTTTAAAAATGTCTATTTAATTTGTTGTATTACAAAAACACACATGCAGGATATACTATACAAGTTGCCTGAAATGCTGCCAAGTCCTCCAGACAGATAATCAAGTATCAACACATTTTTACATGTTTGTAATAAAAGAAAAATAACATTTATGAGTGATTGGAGTTGTTCAAACTATCATGCAAGTGGTAGCATTAGATATTCTAAATGAATCAACAAACATTAAATTACTTTCTCTTCTAAGTAATATGGATATCGACAGTAATGTATTTTTTATAGTGAATTTTCTATAAAGAGCCAGAACGATTTTTAAAGTAAAGTTGTGTTTGATTCAAAATATTTTAAATATGTATTTTCGTCTCAAAGTCAAACATGATTTGAATCAACTTGAATTATTAGCTACCAATCAATTGGATCTGCGATTACCTTAGTGATTAATACCGTGTTCGCCTGTACTATAAATTAATGTCATGAATCAAGTCTTGAAGTATAAGCATAGAAAAGTCTCGGCAAACAAGTTTTTCAATTATCTTATCGTTCATATTACATTGTAATAAAAATGTTTTAACTGATATTTATACAATTAATAAAAGTAGGCAAATGGTGACAAATAAATCTTTATGGCAATATAATTAATAATTTCAATTCACCGTGTCCAATGTAATTCAATTACAAACATTCAATTCGAACTGACAATCCATACACTCATTAGTTTTGTTTGTTAGTTAACATCAAGAATAACATCTGAGGCAGGAATATTTTTTACTTTACTACTTCATAATTTTACTTGTTTGAACTGAATTTCTCGTATAGCAAAAAACGCTTTACCAGAAGCAAGACAGCACGTACGCAAACATATTATAATGTATATAACTAGATGTTATAAAAAATAAATGAAGGACTAGGAATCTCAATGGATCCTGTTGGACCTTGGAACCTTCATTGGCAGGCGCTTGTGTGCCAAGAAATGTTCCATGCTTGTAAAAGTTTTCCAAAAGCGCTTCTTTTTCAGCCCACCTATCATATAACCATTTAGATAATAGTTCTGGTTCACGTGGAACCTGAAACATAGTACTAGCGTTGCAAAATTCAAAAGGTCACTTATATTATTAGCTGTAATTCGACACTTACCGCTGAACTAGGATAGATTCGATAAAACAAAACTGTTTCACATGGCGGACGTGAACCAGTTATAATTGTTGGTAAATCCAATGGTTTACCTTCGGGATATGCTATTGTTATATCAAGAATCCAATTGATTTGTGGTTTAGCTACCGCCATGTCTACAATAAAATTATTTCCTCGTGATAAATGCAATGTGCAACAGTATTGGTTGAATTGGAAATTTATACATGTAAGATCACGTACTTGGTCCATTGTTTGATTCTTGTTCGGATGTACTGTTCTCTTGTGACGGACCAATTGTATCAAATATAGTTTGCAATGCTCCCACTCTTGGTAATGTTACATTTTCAAGGATTGGCAAATTATTCTTCTTAGCATATTTCTGTGAGGTCTCTCGCCTCTTGCATAAAAAACCTCCTTCAGGAAAAAGTACCATCCATTTTCTGTTCAGTGGAATATATTTCTCTTTTATATGCTTTTCTAACTGCCTTAAACTTTCTTCTCGTTTCTTACGTCCCTGATGTATAAAAATATTAAATAAAATAGCTTCATATGTAATACGGTATTAATGAATTATCAAGTCTGTTTCAACTTACGGATACAATGAAGAAATCCTGATGTAAAACAGAAACTACACCGAAATTAGTAAATTTAAAAATCCTATCCATAATCCACATCAAATTGGGTAACACATTTGGTTTGGCATTAAATGTTGTCATTAATAGAGGAACATCACCTGTGCTTTGATGATTTGCCAAAACTAATGTTCTTTCACTAATAATTTGTTGTATGTCATCACCTTCTTCTATTACTACAATGAAATTATTTATTTTTTTTACCAACAATCGATCGCTGTGTACAGAGATAAATTATTATGTACAAATGTTTTACTTACGTTAAACATTATACTTACTATCATAGCCTGCAGACCAAGTCCACATTGATACCATTGCTAAAAGCCAATGGAAAAATAATCCTTCGATCCTCCAATACACTTGTGGTTGATAAACTTTTACAGGGAATAATAATGTCATCCATACTACATACGTAGGTATACAATAAACATTGTTCAATATCACAAAAGTGGTTCTAGCAATACATTTTACAAAAGTCAACACATTACTGATT